ACCTGGTGAGGGTTGAGGAACTGTTTTGCCTCGCTGAGACCCAGCCAGTCTCAGTGGTGCTCCCATAGCAGGGAGCTGGGCTCTGGCTCCAGCAGAGGCTTGGGTGGATGACCCTGGGGACAGCAATAACCAAACACAGCAGCCACTGCCACCTTCCCTCTTCCTGCTGGGTAAAAACTGCCCGAGAAAAGCCTCCTTTAATCGCYCCCCCTACATTAGACCTTCCAGGGGAAATTAGCACAAATGCAACATCAGTGGCACCAAGGGAACAGACCCTGAATGACTTGGAGGGAGGTTAATTAGTTTGTTAAAATCCTTCTCTCTTTCGTTGCCACCTAAAGCTCCAAGCCTTGACAAACAGTTGGGAAAAAGGGTCTCGCAGAAAATCAATGCTCTTTAGAGGTAACAGCTAAAGATCCTCCAAGGAGCATACTGTTGGGAAATAAAGTGGGGGAGACTGTTTCTCCACCATTAGGGTAGAAGACAAATGTTAGATGGGAAAGCAAAATGTTTCCAGGTCTCCATAAAAGTCAAAAGGGAGACAAAAAGCCCGTTTCTCCTTCTGTGGTTTACTGTCTTTAATCTCTTTGCCTTAGTGTCCCCACCTACTCTGCAGCAGAGGTGCTGAAAAGCTGAACTGGTTTTAGCTGAACTGATGCAGGATCCCCAGATACCAAGTGCCAGAGATGTGTGAAGTGTTACTGCCTATCCCTTYGGAGGATGATCCCCTCAGTGCCAGAGCTGCTGACAAACAGCTGCCCGCAGCCAGACACACCAGCCAGGGAACACGARTGTGCAAGGGACAGGAAAAAAAGCCCCACAGCTCCTTACAGTTTCCCCCCCCCCCTTAGATTAATTTAACAGACAACTGTATTGACCCCAGAAAATTTTGTACAACTCCCAGCGTATCATAGCTGCCCTGAGCACGGTGGCACTGGGAACCTGTCACAGAGCTGGTGAGTGCCCACAGCGAGATGTGGCCCTGCCAGCACTTCTGCTACTTCCACTGCCACTCTAGGGTTGTGGTGGGAGGGCTAAAGCACAATGCAGCTCAGTGACTGCCACAGGCAGCACTTTGGGACTAAAATTCTTTCGAGTACGTGGTTTACAGTTGGGATTAACTCCATTCAGTGTCCATGCCTGAGCTCTGCGCTGCCCCATGGGGGACAGAAGCCAGACAGTTCCAGTTCCAGAACCAAGTCTCCTTTACTCTAAGGACATAACTTCTTTGCTAGACACACGACGAGCAGTATGCTCTGCCTTCTGTACTGCCCACTGATGCTTATATTTTAAAAGCCACTACATCATCTGATTCTGCCCAGCTGTCTAAAAAAATAAAAACCAACAGACAATATCCTGTGTATTGCTGGGATGTCTTTGTCAGAGGCTGTGAACTCATCTGCATCCAGCACCAGGATGGACTGAACAAACTGAAGCAGTATTTTATTGCTGAAGCATAAAACACGGGAATAAACAAGCACCAAAGTGCTACTGATCATTAAAACCAGATGGGAGCCCATTTACTGCCTCCAGCAGAGAGGTGCCACGGCTGCTCCACTGGGGCCCCCTTGAAATAGGAAACCTAGCGCACCATCTGGGAGGTGCTGGATGGCAGTGGCTACAGGCAGCCCCCACAATTCCAGCTGCAATTCCCCCTGCACTGTCCTCTTATCAACACCCCAGGGATAACCAGACAGAGCTCTTAGTCCTGGCTCCAGAAATACAGTCACCCTTCTAAGGTTGTGCCTACATGAAAATGCCCTGGTAGGGACAAGCAGCCCATCCGGGCCAGTCCCATTGGGCAGAGGAGGTGGGATGGGGAGAATCACCGGCTAAATTGTCCAAGCACAGACCAGAGTCTCTGTGATATTTCAGTAGTATTTGTTCAAATGCACATCAGAGAATAACCAAGGGTTCTGGTCATTCCTGTGCAATTCAGYTCCCAGGTGGTGGGTCTGACCTTCTTCCTTACCAACCAATGCTGTCTGGCATAGGAAGTGAAGTACCATGGTGGGAAGAAGCCGGGGGCTATTTCCTCTCCTTCCTAATCAACACACCCACCACAGATAAATGCCCAACAAAAACATTCCCAGTGTGAAGCACTGGAAACTGGCCTCCAGGAACAGCTCCATCCTGAGTACCCCCAGCTGCAAGCTGAGCTCAACCCCYTCCCTAGACTGAAGCTTTGCACCTTTGTCTCCAAGTCCCATCTTCCCGTGGCAGGGAGCYCTCTCAGCAGTCAAAACCAGAGCACGGCATGGGGCCAGGGATGGATTCCTGGGCAGCCCGAGAGGAGATGCAAATGGAGCGGGAGACTGCTGGAGAAGGAGAGACAGACAGATGCTTTTACACTTCAAAGGGAACAGGGCCCTGTGAGGCTTTCAGGAATAMGCACAAATCGATAGACTCCTTTCAAACACCGAGCACATTTGCTCAAGTGTGAGGCAATTATTCCCTGAGGATGGAGGCAGGACAGGGCCATTAACAGCCATACGGGCAGGATGAGGAACATGCGGTGGGCTGCCAGCGCAGCCTGTGGAGCAGAACACCGCTGTCCTGGCTGAGCTTTCTCATCCAGGAATTACAAAATGCCCTTGTGTCCCCAGGGGCTCTACAGGGAGCACATTAGTGCCATTCAGCCTGTGTCAGTGCAATGCTCAGCACATCCCTTTGGTAAACAGCAGGTCTGATCACATCCCCTCCACTGCTCTCGTTCACTGCCTTTATCCCTGGAGGGCTGACTTACGCTTACTGAAGCAATACCCATTTCCCCCTCACCCGAATGCTGCTGGGCAGTGCCTGAGCTGCTCTGGAGAGTTCTGTCTCCACGGAGCCCCTCTAGACGGCAAAGCAGAGCCCAAACCAGCTTGTGGGCGAGCCGGGGCTGGCTACTCAGCACGAACAAAGCCAGCATGGGGACAGACCCCGCGGTGCGACAGGAATCACGCCTGACTCATCCCAGTCTACTCTGCACCGGCACTTCTACGCAGATTACCTTTAATGCACTGCCTCCCAGCAAGGATGTTACAGAGACCGCAGGTGCTGGTGCTTTGCGACCCCACAGATGGGAGCTGGAGTGACAGTGCCAGCACGCAGGAAGTCTCTCCTGTGAACAGCTGCTGTTTTACATGTACAGTCTTATTTGTACAACGACAGGCAGAGATACTGAAAGTGAGCAGTGCTTTATGCCTGGTGCATGACTGATGGGAGTGCCCATCCTGTATCACTGGCTGCCCACTCTGCTTTATGGAGGCACATAATTTACCCTCTTCARTAAAAACAGAGGAGGAAGAAATAAAAATCTCAGCATGTCCCCAAAGAACTCTAGGAGATGAAAATTAAATCCATCCATTACACTCACCAAGCAGGGTGCTGTCTGGGCAGGAACACTGTAGTTGTACACCTGCACGTTCAAAGAAAACGAATTAAGAGTATTAGAGAAGTGTCAGAGGCAATCCAGCACCCCACGGCAAAGCACTTCAGGTCATAAAACAAACTCACACGACTTGGAAAAACAAAAAAGATAACACTAAATTAAGCTGAACAGCAACACTGCACAGCACAGCTGCAGCACCTCTTCTCAACCCTGAATCAAAGGTTTGCTTTACCCTCACTTAAAATTTTGTCTGACACTGCTGCTCAGGCCCAGATCTCAAGAATGCTTCAGGGTTTGTTCTGGGACGTGCACACTGTGGGCTGTGGGGGAGAAATACCTTTCCGACTTCTTTTGCCATGTCCTGTAAGCCTCCTCCTGTGTTCCTCCTGCTGTGATGTCGAGAAAGCACATTTAGACCTCACTACAGCTCTGCAAGGCAGGACAGAAAAAGCAGCTTACCTGTGGAGAGCCAGAGCAGCAGCACAGGGCTGGGAGCAGAGCCCCAGGGCCAGGCAGGAACAGGCCTTCCTCCCTCACAGCCACTGACACCGCAGCACGGCCGTGTCTCTGAGCACSGCTGTGCCCAGGACAACCGAGGGATACAGGACAGGCCATCCCCACCGCTGGCCCCGCACAGTTTTATCCTTCTCTCTTTGCTCTTGGCCACTCACTGAGCACCTGGAGGCTGAGGGCAGGCAGGCAGGTCAGTGGAGACACCTGCACTGCACATGTGGCCGCTGGTGAGAGGGACATGGCTGGAGCCGGTCYGGCCCCTCACGGCGGGTGACCAGCGCTGGGTGTTGTGACCAGCCAAATGCTGCCTGCCCCCTGCTAAGAGGCTCCACATGGATCCCAACCGGGGACTCGGGAATTAAGTGGCTTTCAAGCTCCGCAATAAAAACCCATTTGACTTGAAGAATGTTGTTTTTCTTGGGAGGGCATTTGCGCTGCTTGCTTGGATTGCCTTAAAGTGACCCGCTACTCAGGCCAAGGAAATGCACGTCGGAGTCTCCTGAGAGGCTCAAGCAGCACCACGACAGGTACCTCATCCCTGCTCAGTCAGGTGATCCAAGAGCCCCAGCCCTGGCAGTGCTGCTCCCCAGGATCTCCTCTTGCCCCTCAAGGAGCCCCTGGTCCCCGCCCCGCCCCACACGCCTGAGGGCTCGCCCCCACACCGGGTGCCAGAGCAGCGGAGCTCGCCCAATGCACCATCCATCCATCCATCCATCCCACGAGCCTGGCTTGTACCAGGGCCCCTGCAGCACCTGGAAATGAGGTAAGCGCTTAGTGAAACAGTGGAAGCTGCTTCTGCAGAGCCAGGGCAGGCAGCAGCGCAGAGGGCACACGCTGGGCCAGGCGAGGGGACCCTGCAGCCCTGGGAGGACTCGCCGTGTCTCCACAGGGCTGTGGGGAGAGGCGGGAGCTTTGCTGTGCCTCAGGGAAACAGGTGCCTCTCCCGAGCCTGCAGCTGCCTGTGGAAGAACTGCAGCATTGGCAAGAAAGCATTTTTCTGCCATTCCCATCCGCATTGAAGCAGTGTCAGACGAGGCTTAAGACTGCAAAAACCAGTAGGAGAAACCAAAATGAATCAAGATCTTTATTTCCCATAGGAAATTTACCTAGATCCCATTTATACTCCATTTGTCCTCCTCCTTACGTAACTCCTCTGCAGGAGAAGAGCAGAAAACACAGAGAAAATAAACAATTTGCTGCAAGGAATTGGTGCAAGAGCCTGAGTCACATCTAGCAGTGTGAGCAGATAACCTGAGGCTCACTGAACATGCTGTGGAGAACAATGAATGCTGAGATCAACAGCGTGTCATGCATGTACAAACTGGCCCCAGGTAACATGACTAAAGCAGAGCACGTTGTGCTTGAGAAAGAAGCACAAAACCTACATTTTGAGTTTATTTTATTAGTCTTAATGGCCTGCCTTCCCCACGTCTCATTTCCTTTTATTGAAGCCGTCAGAGGCATTACATTATCTCACATGCGTGCAAAACCAGCGTTTCAGTCGAGCTCACACAGACTCCTAAATGCCATAGCTGAAGAAAACAAGCCAGTGGGAACTGCAAAGGGAGGGGGTGGGAGCAGAGTCCAGAGCACACCTACAGGCAAAATCTCCAAAGGCTTCCCAAACCAGCCGAGCGCAGTTTCTAACCAGAGACAGCGAGCAGAAAGGTACTTCTCTAGCAAGCTGGATGATTCAGTGAAGAAGGGCAAGCAGCCCTGTTGCAACAGAAGGCTGATGAGTAATTAATGGCTCGTCCTAGGCACAAAGCTGTCTTTTACCCCAGTGCAGAGCTGTCTGCCAAAYTAGCTCTACCGACAGGCCCAGGGGGCAGCAGCACCTGCACTGCTACTGCAAAGGTCTGGAAAAAAGCGCATTGCACTGGTATTTTCACAGGCGTTCCCCAGTGCTGCCCAGTTCTCCTCAGTTACTCATACCACAGCATTTCATCCTCATTAGCACTCTGTCACAGGGAAACACATMCCAGCTACAAAGATAAAGAAACAGATCTAAGCAGGTAGCCTGTGGGGGATGTATTCCCTCTCCTGGGGGTATGCTGCTGGCAGCGATCCCCGTGTTGTGCACAAAGTACCCCCTCAGGTCCCTGCACGTGGGGCTCAAGGCACTCACTCAACTCTCTACCCATTCTGCTCACCTCATTTCCTAAACGTGAAAGACAGTGGTGGCAAAATTAACAACTAATGGTCAGAGACAGCCTTTTACAGCTGACCTGCCTTCATGCAGCTGGCATTTGAACAGCAGGAAACCACAATATTCTGGTGTTAAAAAAAAACTGCTCCACTTTTTTTTTTTTTCCCCAGCCAGATTTCTTTTTAAGTGAGTTGCTCACATCCAGATGTGTCATGCACAGCAGGTACAAATCACTACTGGCCAGGGTGCCATCAGAGGGGAGGCTCACAGGGCATTACGTACATGTTCTATGGCAAAGTCTGACCTTTATTTCAACGCTGCACATCCTCAAATCCTGGAAAGCCCAGGGGAAGTACTCAGCTGCTCTGTACATATCATAATTGTGGTACAAAAGCAGTTAGCAACATACAATTTAAATAAGGAAACAGTCATTGCAGTTGAGTCCACAAATTTACAGRGCTACTTTTCACAGTAATTTTAACAATAACAGACATGGCCTTTCCCAGTGTCCCTGCACAGGGGTCCGGAGGCACTGGGCACAAGTCTACCCAGGTCTGCTCACAGACAACATCTTGCTACACACACACGTGTGTGCACACAGAGAAAACCATCTGGCACACAGGCTAAATGACACACCTCACTGCCTACTGATGGCTGCAGACCCCACAGCAGCTATTAGTGTGACAAGGAAACATTCCCTAAATAACACCTAGGAACATGTCTATCCTCCCTGAGAAGCAAAGAGCCTGTCTCACACAAGTCCCCAATGCCAGGGCCACTTGCACTTGGGCAAACAAGGAGGCGTCCCCGTTCTAACATGAAGATGGAAAGAATCCTGGCTTGCATGGCAGTGAGAGGCTGCTCCTGCCCAGCACAGGACCAGAGAGGGGGGCATGGAATCTCTCTGATAACTAAACATGGACAGATCCCTACAGACTCCCTAAAAGCAGTGAGTTTCACACAGTCAGAGTAGCGCAGGAACCACGACTATAAATTATATTCTCCAGGGGTGGCAGAGAACAGGAGAAGGAGTAAGTTCACAGTGGAAAATTTCCTTTCCCTCTAAAGGAAGAGGCTGGAGTAATGCAGCAGCACTGCTGTTCATGGCCCTGCTTCTGACAACCTTGGRAAGCCCCAGAGGAGCCCCTTGCATTCCATGGACAACCTCCCTCCACCTCCAGAGAACAAAGAGCGTTTCACTAACCTCGAATCTAYGGCCGACAGAGGAGAGATGGGCACAGGGACAGGCAGACACCACACACAGCCTTGCTGCTGCTTCTCCTGCATGGAACAAACCCTTCCCTGCCTGCACGACCCACTGCTGTGCTCCAGACACGCCTTGCTTGCATTTTACTCTTGTCTTCTGCTGGAAGAAAGGCAAGACTCTAGCTTTAGTTTGACTATACTAACTTAGGAAGCTGCTGAAAGGTCAYCAGGATTACTTGCTTTGCTCATCTTTGTATTATTTTCTACAGTTTTTGACCATGTGGATGACTTACTGAAAATCCCCAGCCCCTATCTCCTTGCACCAAGTCCCAGGAGGAAGGGATGTTGGAAACTGCCAAATGCTAGGTGCCAACACTGTGACTGTGAGTTTAACAGCTCTTTAAATACTGTTCTTGCAGATCTGTGGTTTCCAACTCCTGCTGGGAAATAAACCACTACAGAATACAATGAGCCAGACCCACAGCGACATGGCTGGGGCAGCCACCAGTTTAGCCACTGCTTGTGAAATATGGTGAGGGTTGTTGTGCAAGGAGACAAGGAAGTGAAGTGTCCCACGGTACTGCTTGCAGCAATACCTCTGCCTAGTGTAGGCAARACTTCCAAAGTCCAACACCCCAGAGCAAATTCAATCTCATTTACAATTTTCTTTCAGTCTTTTCACTGGGAAGGGTCCTCCCCGTTCACCAGCAGGCATAGGGGAACAGAGGGTACTGGCTCCACTCTGCCATGGTGCCGTGGGCATGTCCTGGTGTTCCCTGTGTGTTGTACTCCGTGGAGAAGGCCGAGTAGCTCATTGCCCTGTACTGGCTGTGGGAAGGCACCACCCACTGCCCGAGGCCCTGCTCGGTGCCATAGGGACTGTACATGGGTGCCCGGGCTCCAGCTTTCCCCACAGAGTCCAGAGCCATGTTCACCACTCCTGTGTAGTCCTGGGGGGGAGGCAGAGGCGGGGGCAGTGGGGGCAGGTTGGTGAAGCCCTCTGGGAGCTGTTTGGAGTCGTGCTCGGGCACCATGGCAAGATCCAAGGCGTGGCACCTTGCCCGGAAATCGCTCAAGGTCGTGGCATCGCGGGTGGGAAGCTGCTGGCTGTCCCCAGCTTCATGGAACCTGARCCCAAGGGCAGGGAGAAGAGCAAGTCAGACCTACCACAGCAGAAAACCATGGAAAACCCACACAGATCCCCTGGGGAAAGGTARGGCAAGCTCTTCCCCTTGCCTATTGCTTTTTCTTACTGTTACTGTGGATTTTAGCCCAGGCCTCACTGTCACTCCCACAGAAAAATGAAATGCCAGAGAAGGTGAGTCCAGAGAACTGGCTCAGTTCTCTTCTGGGCTCCTTCATGCCCAATTTTGCAATAAGGAGGGAAAAAATCACTGGAGTCTTGCCACTCCTCCAACACTTCCTCCAAATGACAGGCAAGCTCTGTAGTACTTAGAGAGAGCATTTTGAAACAGGGAAATAGAACATTACTCAGACATGAGTATGCCCAGAACCAGTGGGTCTGAACTAGAAGAGAAGGGCTATCCTTGGACCAGTGTCCATGCTAATCTACCATCTCTCAACCACAGGTGCAGTCCAACAGAAAGGCATCCTCCCCTACTCCCAGCTGGCTGTTTTCCTCAGGAAATACCCAGCAGAAGAAGAGGAATGGCACCATTTAAAGGGTGCTTTGGACCAGAAGGTAGGACTCACCGATATGTCTGGTAGGATGGCGTTGGCACTTGCTGCTCCCTGGCCAGACCCTCCCTCTGGTCAGCAGGCACCGGTGAGGCYGCAGGGAAGGCCTGGCTGCTGTTCTGCTCCGAGGTCCAGAAGGGATATCCACTGCTGACCACCACAGGGTTACTCTCTTCCTTCACATCCACATTCTCATCCTTCTCAAAATCTGACTCAAAGCAGGGAAAAGAAAGAATGGAAAAGAATGAGAAAGGGGGAGAGGGAGACTGAGCTCACAAGGGTCTATTGGCAGTTGCACAAATCACGGGATGGTGGAAGGAAACACAAACACCTCCTGCAGTCCTTCATCTCAAGGAAATAGCCCCTTCTACTCTTCTCTGCCCAGATATTGTGGTGTTCAGCCCTGCTCTGTCCTGTCTCMTTAACTGTGCTACTGCAAGCAGCACTGTGATCTGGAGCAAGGAATGATCTAACTTAAAAAACTTTCTGAATATCATTCTCTGTGTTTGTTGYGATCAATATTACCACGTTCCTCAGCACTGGGCTCCTTCTCCTCAGGCAGCTTCCTCTTCTGGCTCTTGGCTGGACTGGGCTTCTGGCATTTGGCTCGTCCTTCCCTGGAAAGAAACAAGACATAGGGTTAGCTTGGATGTAAGCTTTTTGCCTAGATATACAGGCAGGGATGCTATCAGGAAAAAAAAATAAATTCCATGACATTTTTAAAGTTTAAGTAAAAAAGAGCCAGTTTTGGCTTTCTTTCATCAGGAAATTAGTTTTTTTTCAGGCACAAAATAACACAAAACAAAATCTCAGATATTTTTGCAACATTTTCGCTTGGAAAAAAACCTCAATTTTTTCGTTCTCTATTGCCAGTCTGGGGTTGCAATTTAAGCTTTGTTTCATCTCATCCACTGGATGCCTTCAGACCAGGCAGATACTTCACTGGTATTGGTATCCATCTTCCCTCTTGCAGATAAAATCTGCTGGAAGAGACACTTTTCCACCCACAGGAAAAGGAGACAAGGGAGCCTCCAAATGTCAGAACCAAGCTGATCTCCAAGAGACCAAATGATCTGCCATGGACTCCTGTTATCACTGCTATTCACAAGTCAGACTCCAGTCTAGCTCCAACGTGCAAGAGAATGCAGGTCTCAAATTTGTCACACCTCCCACATTGCTGTAGGAATTGTCACCTCCCACTCCCCAAGGCTCTTGGGAAGAGGCTGCACAGAGGGACATCATTCCCAGATACAGGCAAATGCAGTGTGCACAATGCAGCAGGCTCAGCRGAGCCGGCTGGCAGACTTTTGCTCAAAGACCTTGGGTAAAATTCACAAGTGAACTCCAGTTATAAATAAACTAATATGAAAATACAGTTTACCTTCGAGTGTTCTTCCCATGTTCACGGAAACCTTTAGCAAATGGATTGTTGTCAATCTTGAGCTTTGTAATCTTTAAATAAAAGGAAAAAGACTCAGCATCAGACTGTGACTGGTTGGGATCTTCACTGTTCTAAAACCTTCATCTTAGTATTTATCACAACAGATAAATTGTGTGAGGGTTTTTGGACATGACCTTGCCACAGTATCTCAGCTTTTCCAACAGTTCCCATTATTGATCAAGAACTGACCCGCAGAGAGAAGTGACCTTGCAGTGATTTGGGTGGGGTTCATCTGACTAGAGAAATATACAGGCTGAGTATCTATATCTGGACCTGTAGYCATACTTTTTACTGCATTTGGAGTTCTGTGTGTCACTGACAGTGCACTCAATACCTTTAAGGTGCTTAACTCATCTCATCACAGAGTAGATGTTTCCCACAGGATCCATAATGTGCCTGTTTCTTCCTACTGTCCATCACAGCTCCAGGAGGAGCAGCCTGGAAGGAGAAACCTTCCTCTACAAGAATTTTACAGACAGCATTTTGCAGGGTGTCCAGGAGCAGAGCTTGCACACCGTACCTGCTCGTTCTGGTAGGCAGTGACAGARGTGAAGACAGTCTCAGGGAAGCTGAACACCTGGAAGATGCTCCAGCGGACACTGAACAGGTCGTCTGCCTGCACGATGTGGAAGCGCGGCTTGTACCGGTGCATGGAGTGCAGGATGATCTGGGACAGGGACACACAAAGGACAGGTTTCCATGTCAACTCACTGCAAATCTCCTGTGGACACTCCCAGGACACCCATTCCAAACCAGACTGGTGTTTCCATCCAGTCCCTGTAGTGACAGTACGGACCCACACCTTCCCTAGCAGGGAGCTAAGAGGGCACAAGGGCTGGGTGAGGGAGGAACAAAGGGCACTTGRATATGTTTTAATTTCTCACAAATCTTGCTTGTTTCCCATAATATGCATCTGCAATGAATTCCAAGAGGCCACAGCACAACATACATGCCCATGTTGATCCAGAGTGTTGTTGGTGAGCTTCAGTTTTTGGAAGGAGACAGGTTCTTTCATCCAGTGGCTGCCAGGAGCTGGGGAATCTGGGTGGACATAGGTGCGACAAGGGAGCTGGGGCTCAGCTTTTCCAGCAACTTCCCACCGATCTTTATTCCACTGTGAAGGGAAAGACAGAAATCTGGAGCTTAAAAAAGTGTGCTTTCAGTACAGGAAAGCCCCAGCAACTTGGCTTCAGTGTCAATCCAATGCACTCCTCTGGAGCACAAGTAGCAGATTCTCTCTTATGAGCCATGATCATGTTACCAAATCAGCTCCAAGTTTAGGCCTCATTTTTCCTCGCTTTCTCCAAATCGCTGCCAGAGAAGCCTGACATTAATCATGATTAAAACTGTACTGCTCACAATGAAAATTAGTTACCTTTCCAGCTGCTCCCCAAGCAAAACTGACAAATAACTCCAGAGAGGCATAAAATCCATCAATTACTTCTGAACTTTGTCCAAAGAGAATTTATTTATCAGCGTGACAAGTGAAGCATAAAGATTAATCTATTTCAAACAAAGATGAAAGACAGCATAAGTTCTGTTATTTAAAGTACTTACCTTGTACCTGAAGTTGTCCATTGGCACAAAATCTACCAGCATGAGGTACTTGGCATATGGGATTAAGCCAGAGACTTTGATTTTGCATTGTGGAAACATTCGTCTGAAGGAGGAATGAAAAATAAGAGTATAAAGACTTCTCTGTGAAGTGRCTACTAATGATCAAGAAGCATGCCATGTTTACTCACTACTGTGCAAAGCCCTGGCAGCAGTATTTCTCCAGCCAGCCCCTGACCATTTGTCCATGTTATTGATGGACTGCCTAGTCCTACGGGTTTAGATGGGATAGGGACTAACAGGGCAGCAGTCACTGAAGAATAAACTGTTACTGCTTTTCTCCTTCCAATTCCTCTAACATGACAGTGGGAAACTTAAAAGGAACTATTTGGAGGTTGCATGTAGTTCCTGGCCTGCTGCAGCTCTCACAGACCTGCAGGATGGATTAAATCTGAGCGTGGGTAGAAAACGTGCTCTYATCTAAGAGCACACCCAGCTTTCTGTTCCTGTACTCCCTGCCACTGCTTTTAACTTCTGACTCCGCAAAAAAGCTTTGACAGCTACCTCCCTACCCAAAGGGATTGTTCCAGCTCACAGCAGCTTTGACACAATACATTACAATTTCACAATTCCATATTCTTTCACTGCAAGCTCCACAATACATGACTCATTTATAGAGGAGTCTGCACACACAGATCATTATGAGTCTGCGCCATGTTCTTGTCTGCAAACASAGACTCGAACCCAAGCATTTGCTGCTCAACTGCTGCTGCCTGTGACCCAGGCAAAGGGAGCCCAGGGCACTTCCCAGAGCAGCCTCACAGTGACAGGAAGAACACCAGTGCTAAGTGGTGAGATAAGGGTACAGGAGTTTTCTCAGCACATCAGCCTCACAGCGACCTTTTGCACTTCACAGTTTGAACTTCTGTGACACCCTGAAAGTGCAATTCTTCTGCTAGGATCAGCAARATCTGCATAACTGGCTACAAAACCAGTTTAAGGGCCACCATTCAAAAAATGAACACTTGAAAACAGCTCGGAGGGATGTGGTGTGTGTGGGCAGCTGTCCTGTGCCCCTCACCTGCCAGATTTGGTGATGATCATCTCAGTTCCTATCTGGTGAAACTTCATCCAGAGCGCCATATCCTCGAGGGTGACCACGATGGAGCTCTGYGGGAAGGGCTCCAGGCTGGGGGAAGGAAGGGCCTCACACGGCGCTTTCACATCTAGAGAGAGAGAGATGGTGACTGCAGACAGACAGGAGGGGAACTGACAGCACAGCCTCTCATGTCTGGGTAGCCTGTTCCACAAAAAAACTCGTAAAAACTGTTATTTTTCTTCAAAGGATTTTTGTTACTTAGTAGGCTTAGAGGTGCAGAGCCCTTTCCAACAGGTTTGGGTTTATCTGGTAACTTCTTTGTGAAGATCTGTACCAGCATTGTATCAACATCACCTAAATTCCATTGTTACAAAACCCACACAGGCAGCAGCCACAATCCACTGKTCTGGTATGATCAGGGTCACACAAAACACTTTACCAAGAGAATACAATGAAAGCTGAAAGAATTGGGAAGACTTTAAGTGGGTAATAGAGGAAAACAAATAGGTGGTAGCAGAGGTGAAAAATCCCTCCAGAAGACAAAGTTGGGACAAACAGCTGGTGTTGATAGTGCCAACCACCTCTGTACAGCTGTTTGGATTAAAAACCTCCTTAAAAACCTCCAGTAGGTGCTCTCTACAGTATTGTGAGGCAGGCAAGATTGCTGCTGCCTTACTGAAAAGCCCAGTTCCATTTCAGGCCAGAATGTGACCAGGTACAGTTCTGGTGGGCTGGGTTCATACCCAGCAGGGCTGTAGGAACACTGCCCAGGTACAGTTCTGGTAGGCTGGGTTCATACCCAGCAGGGCTTTAGGAACACTGCCCAGGTACAGTTCTGCTGGGCTGGGTTCATACCCAGCAGGGCTTTAGGAATACTGCCCTGGGACTGAGCAAGGGATGAGGACTCTGCTCAGCAGGGCACCCACAGCAGCAGTGCTGACCCAGCCTAGGGCCAGCAGGACCTCTCTGGGTGGTGCATTAGCAGCCAGGCACAGCTATTTCTTTAAAAGGTAGATTTTTCTGCTTCTCATCCTGAGCAGATCTTATTCAGAGCATAGCAGGGAAAAAAGGAATTTTCCCCTTGTTAGAGCTTTTCTGAGTAATGTCTTCAAAAGAGTATTCACATTTCCAGAGAAATTAGCTTTTTTCATAAAGGGACATCTTTCCACCAAAACAACCCAATGCAAGTCTAATGGGTTCCTACTTCAGTACTAAGAAGTAAAAAACATTAAAATGTAATTCTGTMAGTTTGCAGAGATCTTCAGGCATTTAAAAAAAAATACATCCTCTACCTTTTTTTTCTGCTTTGATCCAACATTAATGAACTGGCCAAGAAGTGACACCTAGCTTGCTCACCAAGATTAGCCTGTTAACATCTTCTTACTAAAGCTTCCCCCATATCCTCTTGCAAAGACATGAAAGCTGCCACGAGACGATGCATTCGGTAGCTCAGTGCAGCACATATATCAAAAGGAGTTACAATAAAATTGGGCTGATTTCCCACAGGAGCCATCCAGTCACAAATAAATGCAAACAGATTTTGATTAGCTAGACAGATGCTCRTTCCTTCCCCAAATGAATTTTAGAATTAACATTTCTTTAAGCAAATTCCAATGCCATTAAATGAGACTACCACGAGGCAGATCTCAAGAGTCCTTAATGAGGGAGATTTCCAGTGAAGTCAGAAGGAATTGAAGTGAAAGGAGTTCAACACTGAATTAAAAATCAAAGGTAGATGTTATAATCTATTTTTACCAAMATGAGTCCGCAACGCAACTGTAGGAGCATGATGCTGCAGGAGACAGGGACAATAAATGTTGCAACAAAGATTTTAAAATGTAGTTAATGCCTTTCACCATGCAGATTTTGTGTGCTCTGGCTGAGGCTGAAAAGCAGAACTTGAATAGTCTGCATGAGGACCTGGACCTCAGCAGTGGTGTGGGCTGGCAAAAAGATCCACACAGCCACTGTTGACTTCAGTGGGATCCTACAGTGATGGATCTATTTGTAGGATCCACTTTGGATTTTATTTGCAAATTCTGTTTGGATTTTTGTTTCTCTCCTAGTTTGTGACTGTGTAACTGATGGCACGACTCACACACTCACCCTCCCACAAAGATGCCCGAGTGTCAGAATTACAGCATGGAGAAGTTTGGGCAGAGTGTCCAAGTACTGAACAGAACTTGTGTGAGATGGTCTTATATGGTTTCCTCTTCTGTGCAACTTGGTTTTAAAACCATTATTATCTGAAAGAGATTTAAACCTTTTCCAGGAATTCTAGTTTTACTTTTTTAAAAAATAGTACTATTTTCATTGTGCTGGTAATACCATATGTGGCCTACTCTAAAACATGYTCTTTATGTCCAGCTGAAATTGAAAAGTGGGAAGTTGCTATGATAAAGGCGCTGAAAATTAAGAGATCTTCAGTCTGTTCYGTGCTTGATTTGAAGGTGCTTTTACCAATAAGAGTAGCTTGTGCTGCAGTTTCTGTATCTAGAATAAGATGTACAGATCTTTTTGTCATCTTGGGGACAGAAAGGAAAGGAGAAATGAGAGACAATTTAGGAGCACTTGCAGAGAGGATGAAGATCCTTGGTTACAAGATGCTGGTGTACAATTCCCTCACCTAAAGAAGTTCAGTTCATCCAGTAGTGAGACAATGTTACAATGTCAGAAAATTCGTTGCAGCCTACCCAAAATGTATAGGATAGCGTTTGCAGACTGGGAAAACTCCAACAAGGCAAAAAGCTTCACTAAAATCAGTTATTATTATATTTGTTGCTGTTACCTTCCAAGTGAAGCCCAACACTAACGGCTATCCAGTGTCCACCAGGGAGGAATGCACATCAATACAGAAAGCTTTCTAATAAATTAATCTTACAGACAAGCAAAAAAAACCCACCCCAATTATTTTCTAAATGTCAATAGAAACGTCCTGACCCTCTGGAGGGAACCTAATTTCTCAGATCCAGAGAGTTTTTTGGCAATAACAAAAGTATCGTTTCTACCATACCATTTTCTACCAAATGCAACAGTTYCATCTCTCAGATGCATCCAGTCATCACCTGGAATATTTCTGCTGTAGGGGCTCATACACCAGAAAGAACTCAGYAAGAAAATGAGGTGAATACTGCAGTAGTTGGAATCTTTAACATGAAAATGCAAYAATACAGTCTATTTTTTTTTTCATTGCTGCTCTTTTGTTTTTCAACTCAAAATTCAAGTAGCAGAAATCAGTATGAATCAGATCAGCACAGCAGGGACTGAAAAAACCCAAAAGAGCAGCGAAGGTGGAAATCAACTAAATCACTGCACATGTATTTTGCTCATGAATGAGACAACATCTTGCAGAGGATGAGAAGSAAGCTGAGACTGCCCAGTCACCTCTAATGTGCACACCTAAACCTGGGCCAGTTGTTTTCTTCTGAKGTAGAGTAAAACCCCACAGTAGATTTGGGGTTCAGCTGCACTGACAAATGACATATCTGTCATTGTGCCAATCCAATCAAGCTCCACACAGCATGCTATGAGATGGACTGATGAGAAACCATAAGGAAATCACAAAAATACTGTGCTGGACGTGAACCTGGAAGAAGTGGGCCATACCTGCTTGGGGTTCATACTCTCAAAGGGCATAGGAAATAGGAAAAAAAAACCAAACCAGATGGTTTGTATCAGAACTGTCATTAGAAATATAACAAGTATTTCCAAACTTTCTGGGCCCTTCAACCTGAAGAACTCAGTACTTTGCAGACAATACACAAATAACACCTCCAGTCTCCAGTTGAAGGATCACCCTGCACAAGGTGATGTGGGTAAGGGAGTTTTGGGCACARTTGTGAGCAAACCTTTGCTACCTTACAGAAGATCTTCTAAGGCTCTCAAAAAACCACTCAAATACACAATTTTTCACCTACATCTACAAAAAACCCCAGTTTTGAAATCATCTCTAGCCYCATTGACTCTACTATAAATGCTGGTAGCCCTCCAGGAGCACTTGTTCCCTTTCTGGCAGAAGTCTAGGATGTTTCTGTGCAACAAGAAAAGGGAAGGAGTCCTTCACTTACCTGGTAAAGCTTGCATTTTTCCATGTACTGTGACACTGAGGAGCTTGCTCAGCCAAGAGAGCCACCAGAGTTGTTACAAGGGAGCCAAAATATTCCAGTTCAAAAGCAGGTCTGATTTCCTGGAGCAAGCACAGGCCTTTCCTTCSGAGATCCAGTGTCAAGAGTGAGCGGGATGAGGATGGGATTCCAAGCACAGCTAGCCAAGGTGAGTTCCTGTTTTATGGAGGCTAATGAGCAGGGAGGAGCTTCCCGCCAGGGCTGTCCCCTTGCGAGCCTTTGATGTCCAAAGGGACAAAGAGAGGAAGGATCTGCAGCAATGGCTGGGGCTAGGGGAAGAAAATCAAAGAGAATTAACATGGCTTTGACATACAGGAAACCCTACAGGGGAAATGCACCTTGATTTACTGCTAACGCACTCTTAAACAAATATAGACAAGACTGAAAACATCAGTTGAGGACTTAGCTACAAAATAAAAACAAATCCCTTAAACAGCAAGCAGGGAGAAYTTCTCTTTGGCTATTCCATGTGTTTGTGATAATTCTCATCTTCAGTGCACAGAATAATTTTACTCTTGGTTTCTGGTACCAGCATCAGAAGGGCATTGAGCTCATTCCTTCCCAAGATGGTGATTAACAGTCTGTGTAAAGTTTRCTCTCAAAACTGGAATGCTGCAGCAACACATCCCTTCTCCAGCAACATAAACACATTTGATGGTATAATGTCACTTATCTGCCAAACCTCTGCATTCCCAGCCCTTAAATGCACTTTTTTTTCCAGAAGGATCAGGCACTGAGGTTATGCCTTGCTCAAGGCACTGCTCTTAACCAKGGAAGGCTGAGCAGAAATCGAAGGGCTTGAGCATTTTCCCTTAATTAGTTTATTCTGCAAGTGTGACCATTAGCTTTTGTGCTTATAASTGCTTACAAGTGCTAAGAGACAGCAATCAAGGCTCAGGCTCCAGGGCACAAACACAGCCACTGCACCTCGGTGAGGAAGGGGGTTCTGTGCCTTCACACACAGAAATGGCTGTCCTAACATTTACAGGACCAAGACARTCAAAAAGTGGAGGTCAAAAGCAGGATATCAGTCTCAATGGGCCAGTGTGGGTCCTGCACAGCAAATTTAGGAGCTCTGTTACTTGTTATAAAGCTGCATCCCTTTCACTGTTTAGATTTATTCAAAATAAAATACATCTCTTTTCTATTTTGTCAGTGATGTTACTGGGACATCTGATCTGCAATYGGACATGCAAAACAAATTTTGAATKTATTTAGTGAGTTCCTACACCCAAACAAGATTCCTTCAGTTGTGTTTTTATTGCCTTTTGGAGCAGGCAATGGGAGGATATGCAAGGAACACAAAGGAGCCTAATCAGAGCAGGGACTGACTCTCTTCCAGTGGGATATTGAATTTTAGGCATCCCAGTACTAGCCAGGGAGAGAAAAGGCAATGCTTAGTGTGGCAAGGAAGAATATTTTAAAGAAAAGGTTTGCAGAATCCTCCTGAGRAGGATTTTATAGCAGGAGATGGTCCATTGCTCCTGGCACCTCTGCAGACCACAACCAGCCTCGCTGGCATCCCTTTTAAACACTGGCTAACACAGAAGACTGCAGGCTTTTCTCCCTCAGATAAACTGGAGACAGCCAGAGCTGTGGATAATCACTGAGGAGAGGACTATCATGTGGTGGAGAAACATCAGCTTGTAGCTCAAAAGGAGATTATTTATTAAATATGTGGAGAAATAAATCAGAAGGGAAAAGGTCAGCTGAAAATGGTATCAAGGTCAGAACTCTGCTTGTACTTACACAGCCTCTACCAGATACAAACAATATAAGATGCAGAAATGCAGAAATGCTTTTCTGCTCTGCGACAGAAGGAAATCCAGCATCAAATCTGCTCCCCACTCCATGGCCTGCTTTTCTAATGCTAGTATTTTAATTGTAGAAAGCGGAAAAAGACAACCATAATCAGAATCTGAAAAGGAAAAATAGAACAAAAATTGGGTCAGATTCAAGCTAGCAGCGAGATGAATCAACATCCCACACAGTCAGAAACTGCACAACAGCAGCAGCAGCACWGGGAATTTCAGACTTCACCTGACAGGAGCGTGGGATGTGTATCATGACTTACTGCTGCTTCCACAAAGGCTATGAGATGGTCTCCTGCTGCCACTTCATTTGCACACTGCGTATCAGCATGTCTGGGGAGCACACATTTGCTACAAGTACTCAAATCCTTTTGGCTTCTCCCAGCTGATTGATGGGGAAGGTGGAGTCATTAATTACCCATGACTAGTTAACAACCAGCTTTCTCCCAGCCATTCTAGTTGCACTGGAAAGGTTTTAAAAGTGAAAAAAAAAAAGTGAATTTGTTACTATTGCTGGAAAGCGTGGCTAATAGGAGCAATCCCCAGGAAATTCATCCCTAGCAAAGGGGGAATTTAGCACATTACCCTTGTCTGTCCATCCATGGAGAACCCTCAGGCAGTTTGATGGGAAGTCAGAGGTGAATKTGCTGGTGTCTAACAATTCACTGGCAAATTGGAGGCTGAGGGTGTGGAAAGGGATGGGAGACAGAGTGGACCTGACACGTGTAAGTCAGTGACACACACGGCTCTGCTCCGAGCCCATTTACAGCAGCAGGATTAAACGCTGCTGAGCCCAGCTCTAACAGCAGGCTCTGCCCTATGCTGAAGGGATGAGGAGGGGCAACAGGGAGRGCATGTGTGATGACAAAAGCAGAGCCAAGAGCTTTTGCTTTGCATGTCTTTGAGAAGCTGATTAGAAAGAAACATTCCCCTCTGTGTTTTGTAGTAAGGCAAATGTTTTCTGGCATTTCTCCCACCTTAAGTGAAGCTTTAACCCTTGCTGCTCAACAGGACCCTGTAGAGAGCAGGTTTGTACACAAGCCTCCAAGCTCTCCAACACAGTGATATCTTGCCATCTCTGGCTGCTGCCTGGGGCTCCCGGACTGCTGGAGAACAGATGAGGTGTCAGGCTTTGGCTAATGGGGTCAGAGTCTGCAAGTGGCTGTGCCCAAGGCACCACCACCTCTGCCCAGAGGGAAGCATTCTGCTCGGAGAGCAAGCTCCAGTGTGGGGCATGAGGTTACTGCAGGAGACAGCTGAAATGTAAAAGTCATCTTTCAAAAGAATCAGCCATGGGTGCAGCAGCCAGTGTCCAACCCTCAGGTTTCCCTCTGTGAGGAAGTGTTAGCACAGCAGCTTTAACACCCTGGGCTTCAGCAAGGCTGCTGTGTCTGCCTGGATCTGCACAAGCAGCAAAGAACAACATGGAGCAGTACAAATCTGCATCTAAGAGATATTCCCCTCTGAAACTTGAGAGAGGTCTTCCTGCCATTTAAATGTGGCTCATTTAGSCCATTCCCACCTGGCACACAGAGGSCACAGTCCCAGAGCATCCTGGCAACTCCTTGTGAAGGATCCTCTGCCATCTGCACGGGATGAGCACTGAAAAGTAAAAGACAGCATGTCATTAACAGGGCCCAAAATAAAACAGACAGCCCTACACTGATATCTACTTATTTTCATACTTCATTAAAAACATGAAGAGGTCACAGACTCTCCAGAATCCACAAACTGTCTCCTTAAATCCAGGCTCAGCTCACTGGGAAACAAATGCAGCCTGATTAATGTACACAGGGCCATGGGGAAAAGCAAAATTTTTCAAGAGGAAAAGCCTGATGAAACTCTTGCTCCTACAGCTGTGCCAGTATGTGACTCCTTGTCGTTGTTACTGCCCGACACCTCACCCAGAAAATAGGAAATACAAGTGCAKGGTCGGCCAGGACAGAGCTGCTGARCCCTGGCAGCACAGGCACAGCCTGAACTTGGGCAGCTTTCTGAGCAAGTCTCTGTGGGCGGCTACAGGAATGGTAAAAGCCTGCAAAGTGTTTTGAGAGCCTCTGAAGAAGTGCTACATATCTTCTATCATGCTGCAGTATAAGAAACAGTTCCTACYCAGCTCCTTACAGCAGCTCACATAACACAGCATTTTCTTCTGATGGARGGAAATGGCGCCTTTCCCCCCCTTTTTATGGTTTTGATTGATTTTTCCTGGGAAAAGCTATCTGGTGTCTTCAGGTATATTACGAGTGTCACACAGACCTTCCTACCCTGGGACCCATGCGAGGGGCCCCACAGAAGGCAGATCTCTGTAGGGCTGAAAACCCCATACTGAGCCCCAAATTGCATCACCCCGAATTTTCCCTGTGCTCTCAAAAGAGCAGAAATGGCATTTGGCAAACCAAACCAGCTGGTTGGAGAAAGCCTGTTGGTAACAACTCAATGCTAATTCACCACAGGGTCCCTGGACAGAGGCRCAGTGAGCTGTGGGGACGGGTCACRGGCTGCAGGTCAGCTGGGAAAGGATCTGCTCTGGAAGGGAACGTGGGAAAGCAGCTCAGACAGACAAAAAATCGTACATTATAAACCTACCCCGAGATTTTTCCTCTTGCASGTTTGTGGATTGAGGAATCAGAGGACACTGCTCTCTCCCTGCCTCATATCCGCCCTCCCCAGCCTGTGCAATGAGCTCTGCTGCCAGGTTCGTTAGCATGGACACAAGAAGGGAAATACTTAGCGGCCACTTAGCACTGCAGGCTAAGGTTGGCCTCAAAGGCTACAGTCCAGAGTCAAATGCAAAATATGTCTGTCTAGAGCCCTTTCAAGTTCTCAGACTCCTGATGTTGGGTGCACTGTTTTCCTGTCAAGCCATTGTGTTTGCCAGACACAGCTCAGCACTCTGTCCYGCTCAAATCCACAAAAAATACCTTGTGAAAGGATTTGCAGCAGCGAGGGGAGCTCTGCAGACAGTGCAAGCACTCTTTTCCCAGCCCTGCATTGGGAAGGCTCTTTCCTCCCACAGCCGGATCCCAGCAGCCCTGCCTGAAATCACTGCTCTCCACCGGCACCATAAAGGAGCAGCCTGAGAAAACAGCAGCAAACGGCTCTGCCTTAACATCCATCCATAAATACTTCTGGTTTTATACACATGTGCGCACACTCAGATGCAAAGAGAAGCATCATGCAGAGCTTTAAAACTGCTGGTAGTTTATTTAACCATGAATTGAGAGCAGACAAAAGCCCTGAGCAGAATGGATTCTGCCGAGCAGAAGCCCAGCAGACAATGCTGCAGCAGTCTGTTAAAAAGCTGATGTTTACAGGAAAAAAAGCAGCAGCTCAAACCCAGAAGGTTTTATGTATACTTTACATGGTACTTCAGTTTCCATGAAAGATTCCTTTTGTTGGTGATCAGGCATTTGTAAAGCCATGAAACCAGAGGTAAAAAGCCAGAGTTAAGCCATGCAAGTCTGGGTGCAAGTTACTCTGTTTGGCAAAGACACATCTCTTCTGTCATAAGGGAGTTTCCATAAAGTGTTCATCACTGTAAGGTTCTAATCAAATCAGGAAATCAATAAACAGTATAATTCCTTATCAGAGAACTACCTTCAAAGAGSAAATTAAAATTGTTAAGATGTGAAATGTTTGGAATTTAAAAATAAATTTAGCGATGTCTACAGAGCTGCATAGAGCTCAGTTTCTCCAGTATCACAACTGACTCTAAACAACTTT